TACTCCCTGACATCCATTTTTGCAGATATTGATATCCCACTTGCAATGACCAAAGTGGAAATCAAATAAAAATATCCGAGTATAGTTAAACAAACTCGGGGAAACAAAATCTGTTAAATCTTAAGATTGACATTATCCAAATTGAACACGAAACATATCTATCAACTACTTCCATTAAAGTGTAACCTGCTCAACACTACATCACCGACAGGTCGCTGCAGACTCGATGTTGTGGCTCTGCAGATGAGGAGAAAAGTTCACTCCAACTCATGTCTCATTGTCCATAATTGCCTAGGGGATGATTCAAAATCTTTAAGGTCCGTTTTCTCACTGTCTTGACAGAGCTGTCATTAGCTAAAATTGCAAACTTGGCAAAGTTCATAAACTTGTCAGGTTGGTTTATTATCGCTTGAATAGGGGAGCCGTGTCTTTCGGTGTTGTCCCTACGTTGAACACTACAGTTGTTTTTAGAATGCTTCTGGTTCTGTAACCAGGGCATTACAACGGTTGGGCACTTTAACCTAACCTAACTAAAATATATAACAACCCTGAGAACTGTTGATAAATAATTTATAGCTGTCTTATAATTACAGCACAATGCAGTAAAAGGGCTTGTTAACATAAATTAATAGAATCAAGTGAAAATAACCATCTCTTTTAAAAAAAGCACTTTGACATAGTTTAAAAGTAAACTAGAGACATTGTACTCGTACTATTAACAGGCGTTCGCTTATGAAGTTATCCGTTTAATAGAGCTTTCACTGTACTTGTTTCTTGCGCAGCCATTGTTATTCTAAACTTTAACCATTTTTAAAAAAATACTTCATAATTGCTTTACAAGGTATAAGCTTGTTTCCTTATCAACTAAAATATTGTACAATTTCTTAACTCACTCCTACTTCATATTAAAAATGCACTCCATGGAACGACATTCTTAGCTTCTTAATTTTCAACAAATATTACTCAACATCACGGTTGGCTTTGTATTTCCTCTTGAGTGCTTGACGATAGCATGTGTCTGCAATTTTGATGCAACTTTAACAATTCTTTGGTCGTTCGGTCTTTGGTCGGTCTTCAGTATGAACGTACGTTACCTTGTGTGAGCGAGTTCACTTCACGCTCGATTCACTTCAATGAATGAACGCTTCGTCGGAATTCTGATTTGTGGCTGCATCTGCAAATGCAATGTCGATGCTGCAGTTTTCCTGCAATAAACTTCATTAAAAAATATCTTCAAAAATAGAAAAATTACTAAACATAATTAAGTTTTTTCAAAAATTTCTATTTCCACTCTTATAAAGGTATTTTTTTAATAAATGTGCACAGTTGTTTGTAGGATCTTTTAGCTTATTTTCTACCAAAATGAATCCTAAATACACTTCATTAAGCAAGGTTCAGTTACTCTGCGATATCTTCTCACAATGTGCTTTTCCGCATCATAATGTTCGATGATAGACGCACATTAAATGCATAAAATTGCCGGCTATAAATAAAATTTAATGAAACACAAATTTTATATTTCCTTGTTTATTTAAGATAATTTATTTTTTACTTTTATTTTCATTTTCAATTTAATTTAAAGTTAAATTGGCAGAAAGACTCTATGGATTCAAATGTTCCTGCTGTTGAATTATTGTATGCAATTTGCTTGAGGTCACTGAAGTAGAACCGACCGATGCTAAATTAGAATCATGGAGACATTCTGTGATTGCCAAACGATTCAATTATTCATAGTCTATAAAATATAATAACCAACACAGAATGCATACTTCATTTTTCAGATATGTATTCTATATAAAATCTTTAATAATATGATTACATCTTTTTCAGTGGACCTTTTAATTTAGTCTGGGATATAACTTAATTATTCTACTCACTATTCTTTTTCTGTTTTGATTTGTTTATAAACACGTACTCTAAATACATAATATATATATTAAATGCAGATGGATTTTTATAAGTTGAATTATTTTTTTCAAAAAGGAGACACCCTCAAAGTTATTTTTTCATTTTTTTTAGATGGACGAATTATAAGAGTTAGATAACGAGAAAGTACAAATAAGCTACTGTGACTCGAAATTGAGAGAGAGAGAGAGGTGAATGGGTGAATCGGTTAAACATTATCTATACACTAAACATCATAACCCAATATGTCTACGCTCTTAAATGCTGGACAATAAAAGACGAAGGGTTCTGTGTTACCCACACTCTCTAAAATAAATTAGCAAAAGAAGCCATAAATAAATATATAATTTAATTAAAAAAATTATTAAATAAATATATAAATTAATAACTAATTAAACAAACTTAAATAAATAAAAAAATAGGTAAAGGAATACTTAAATAAAAAATTAATAAAAAAAATTAAAACAAAAATATTAGTGAATAAATAAACTATAAACATAGATACATAAATAAATAAAAAATTAAATTGATAAATAAATTCAAGTAATTATTAATTTTTAATTAATTTAAAAAAATGAATAGGTAACAAAACAAAACAAACAAATTAATTAAAAAATACATAAAAAAATAACATAAGAATGGCCACAAGAGTGCACAGACTTTTTATATTGAAAGCAGTAGGGGCCAAATAAAAAACATTTTCCTTTCTTGAAAAAACATATTTGTTTTCCAGGAGTTTCAAATGGGGTAGATCTCAATAGAAGGCAGCTGGAACAAGTAAAGGTATTAAACCAAAACGACTTTTAGTGCTATCAGTATTAGCTACGTCTAATATTTTTCGTCAGTGCCAAATATTTCAGTCAGAAATGTCGAGCAGTAGGCGGATATCCAATATTTAACCTCTTAAATTTAAAAAAGATCTTCCGATTTCACGATTTTCCGCACTTATTAATACAAAACTTGACGTTTCCACTTAAAAGATGGCTCACCTCTTCCGCGATTTTATACCAATCGGAAATATGAAGCAGTGACAGGATACGGAACCCTTCAATTTTTTAGTTTAAGAAAGATGTTATTCTGCCACCATTTTCGCCATTCAATACTTGATCTTTATACCATTAATATGTTTAACCTATTTCGCAATTTTATTCTGATACTACCATTATGACTGTTTTATCTATTGTTTTTTGTTTTTTTTGTTAGCCAATTCAAAATGTCTTTTAACTCCTACCTTCTCGACGAAAATGAATACAAGAAATGTGCAAATTTGTGCATATTTAAAAATTAAAGATAAAGTCAACCATTTACTGAGCTAAAACTCATTAATTTATGAGCCGTGAACACTTTAAAAGTGGAACAAAATTTTGACTTAAAAGAATGTCTGCGATATAAGAACAAAAATCATCGACCGTGGTGAAAATAAATTAAAGGGCGGCATAGCTCTTTACTGTCTCCACGGAGATATACTTCCAAGTCAAGCAAATCGAAGAGTTGTACAAAAAAGAAAAAACAATAAATAAATAGATATCCAAATATAAAAATAAAAAAGAAAATACAGAGATATTATATAAATATCAATTTTTTCATATTTGTTGTAAGAATATCCACCATTTAGAATCAAAAATGCGAATTCTCCATTGATATTTTTAGAAAACTAGCAAATATTATAAAGCAAAAGCAAATACTAATCGAATGAAATAGCATAAGGATATCTCATAGTATATATTTGAAATTTTTTTTGTTTATTCTGTTTTATATAAAATAATTTTCACTACTAAATGCTATGCAACATTTAAATTTTAAAATTGCGCGAAATCATAAAAAAAACTATTAAACTGTAGTTTGCGATTAACACTTTTCCAAAGAGCTCATGGCGTGAAGCCCTAGTAAGAATAAAAAAATATTATTGTCGACATAAAGAAAAACTTCGACATAAATAGCAACGGTAGGTGGATACCACATTAAACTGACTTGAAATAAAAATAATATGAAAGACTCATAACTCGAATCGATATGATTCCATGAGCAAGCACATATAAAATAATGAAATATAGTTTTCTTTAGAACTGACATTTCTTAGTCTCGTTTCTACTCAAAAGCAATTCGTCACAAAGTCAAATTGATGTATATTTATGGCTCAATTTTCAAGGACCATTTGGTAGCATATGCAATATACAGTAATATAAAGGCTAATAAACTACGTTTAATTTAGTAAGTTTATGAGTATATAATAACCTTTAGATTGCCTATAAGGATTGTTCTTAAGCTCTTAAGAAAAGGAGCGATTTAATAAAAAATAAAAAGTGTTTTCTAATGGTGTGGACATTGTGTATAAAATAGCTATTGGAATTACGCAATTCCTACAATCAATTAATATGTCAAGAACCAAGCTGTATAGATATACAAAGTAGTGGAAAAAGTTACATAGATTACTGAAATTTACCAAAATTCGTTGTCAAATTGAAACGCCAGGAAATCAAATTATTGCGTATGACGCAATAAACTATAGAAAATAATTTAAAAAATTAGTTTATATTATGACAAGAACCTAGCTTCGCCAAAGGTTCTAAGTGGTGCCTACCCTTAAGTTTTTAATTTTAATTAATTATTTAATTAATTATTTTATTTAAATATTCACAAACTAAAAACCTTTTCATTTACACATAAAAATTTAATATTATTATGTATGAATTCATAATATGCTTAGTTTTTTCAATAACTTCTGGTTTGATGGGATATTTGAAAATTCATATACTCGCCATCTGGCGTTAGGTAGATTATAAGTAACACGAAAGCAAAACAAAAACAATGAATTGTTATTTCAATATATTGTAGTTAATTTTAAGTGGAATGAAATGAAATAATTTATGAAAACATATTATTGAATATAAATTGAAATCATTTTATTATTAATGAAATAATTGCTCAATTTAGAATTAATTTATTATATATAAATTTGTGCTGAAAATACATAATGAATTACAATAAGATTCCGCAAGTAACGAGTAGTCATTTGTTGCGCCACATCACTACCGGCACAGCTGATATCTTATTTTAAAATAATTTTGTGTTATTTTTGTTTTGAGTTTTGTTTTTTTTTTGTCTATTTTATACAAAAATACATATCCGAATAATATCTTGTCGTAATAATAATAGCGGCACAAAGAAAAAAAAAAGTATATTGCAATTGGTATGATTTCATTGCTAGTACAACCGGTAATTATAACGTGATTGACGTTAGCTTTGTTAATTTTGCAGATAATTTTTGGGGAAGAAAATTGTTTAAATCAATTTGTATATAAGCAAAGTGAAAAATAGAGTGAATAAACTTTACTATATATTCATGCTGATGTGAATTATGTAATATAAATATATGGAACAAATACTTTGTATGCTAAATATATATGTAAATTGTCTTAAAATATATTTACTAATAATATTTATATATTACAGAAAAATAATTTAGTTTTTGGCCAATATGGATATACTTTTATTTCTAACAGCAGCCACCCATCTCTTCTACACTCCATTTACGAAAGTGGAGGAGAGTTTTAATTTACAGGCTATGCATGATATACTTTATTTAAGACATAATTTTTCTCTGGTAAGTTTAACTTTAGCAAAAATTATAATTTTTTATAATCGTATCATCGTTATAATTGATAATCGTAAATTTTCAACTATTAATATCATCTTGTGATATTTGAAAGGTTAGATAGATATCGGTTTAAACAGTTGTTGTTTTTGTGATCGTAACAGATAACCTGTAGAGTAGGTACTCGGAACGCCCTAGTGTACATTCCGGAACCACGTGACTTTCAAGCAACAAATTATCGTTACTGCTTCCAACAGAAAGATAGCAAAAACAATTAAGTCGGTACATGTCAATAAATTCCAGTATGTGAATCCATTCAAAAATAAAATGTTAACATTTATTTCGTCTGTTGGATGTTTGAAAAAAAATTAATAAAACACACAAATATCTTAAATTTCAATTTTCTAAGATAAAATCAACATTTTTAATGTTGTTTATTCAAAAAAAAAAAACTAGAATTTGTTTAAAAAAAAACTGGTATTGTTAATCACAAATTACTTTCAAGTGCTTTAAAATTTTAATATTGAACATATTAAGCATTGTTGCCTTACAAAAACAAATAACAAGTAAATAAAAAGTAAACGAACTTATACATGTATACATAAATAAAAGTTCATATAACAAATATAATTAATATTAATTTATTATTTTGTTTTTATTTTTAGTATGATCATCATGAGTATCCCGGTGTTGTGCCACGTACATTCTTGGGTCCACTGTTTATATCCATTCTATCGACACCATTTGTGCTGCTTTTTGAAGCTCTACGAATCAATAAACTTTGGGCGCAATATGTAGGTAAAACAATAATAAACAACTCTTATTCGTTACATACAACAATAAAATACATAAATTATGTATATGTATATAAGCAGAAAAACAACTTTAAATTACGTTATTTTTCTTTAGTGCGTTTAATTTTGGCTGGTGTTATATCGTATGCTTGGAATGACTTAAGACGAGTTGTATCAAAATTATATGGCATTGAAGTAAGCATTTGGTTCACCATCATCACCATTACACAATTCCACTTTATGTTCTATATGAGTCGCACTTTACCCAATACATTAGCTCTACCCTTAGGTAACTGTAAAATAATTTATTCATTTAAAATATATATAAAATATTTTAATATTTTATTTAAATTGTATAGTTCTCTATGCTTTAACTTATTGGCTTAAAGGTCAAAACAAACATTTCATTATCTGTTCGGGAATTGCGATATTGGTATTTCGTTCTGAACTAGCGATATTTCTTGGTATATTATTGATAATTGATTTAGTACAAAAAAAAATCAAAATAGAAAGGTAATCACGTTTATATTCCAATTTCTTTTATTATTATTCTAATATTTTGTTTATTTTAAAGCATCATTCGAATAATATTACTTGCTGGCATTTTTATATTAACAGTTACTGTATTGGTGGACTCATTCTTCTGGAAACGTTTACTTTGGCCTGAGGGTGAAGTACTATGGTACAATACAATTTTGAATAAAAGTTCTGATTGGGGTGTACGTATATTAGTTTATTTATTCCTTTTAAATATATTTATAATATTAACGCCTCATTTTTAATCTAATAGACCTCACCATTTTTATGGTATTTTTACTCTGCTTTGCCACGTGCTATGGGAGCTTCACTTTTATTTGTACCTGCTGGTTTATATTTCGAACGTCGAATACGTCCACTTGTGATTGCAGCAATTGGTTTTGTGATTATATATTCCTTCTTGCCTCATAAAGAATTGCGCTTTATTATCTATGTTTTACCAGTATTGAATTTAGCAGCTGCATGTGCTTGTGATCGTTTGTAAGTATAAATTTCATTTCAACTTATTTATTTAATTAAATTATTATATATATATAAATATAACTATAAAATAAATGCATACAATTAATAGTGGAGCATTTATTCAATATATTTATAAACACTGGAAAAATAAGTTTAAGATGCAACATCATTCACAATATCTAAGCAAATTGCTTATATAATATATAATGTATGTATGTTCTGAGATTTAGTATGTAATAAGAATTAGAGATAAGATCCTAACAAAATTATACATTACATTACATTAATGTAGCCACACATAAAAAAAATATTTAAGATATAATATTCATACACTGAAGGCAATATCTATACAAAAAACTAGTAAAAGTATTTCTCTAATAGTTCATAATGAGCCTTATGTACTAAATATAGAATTATTAAAAAACATGTATTTCAAACAATTTACTATATGATCCTACTACTTCCTTCTTCAAACGATCAATCTAATAATTATAACATACTATATAAGCAATATTGCATAATTATACAAGATAGCATTCTATCTCAGCATAATTCCAGATATAACCACAAGTTGAACAGTTATATATCGCTTATATACCCACCTACTCCTCTTGTGTACCTAAACTAAAGTTCTACAATATCGTCCATTTATTTAATTCTTCTTTTATACAAATTAGAACTCCATTGTCTTTTGACTGCTTTCCAATAAGATATAATGTTTCGAACTGAATTTAAAGTGAGAAAACCAATTTTCAACCTGCGTAACCCAATTGCTATGGCTCAAGCAAAAACTATTCCATGATAATAAATTGTCTATCAAAATTAATCTATTTCGTTCAAACAAAATACGTACATTAAAATAAACTAGAGTCAAAGTACCAGTCAATAAGATACAGAAAGGAAATGAGAGTTTCATTTAAAAAAAAAATGTTGAAATTGTTTCTACACCTATTGCTAATTCATATAATATATTATTTTTTATATTTAAGATTATTGTGAGATAAAGACTGGTTTAGTAAACCTGCACATTTACTACTTAACATAACTACTAATATTAGCCAATTAAGATTTTATTAACCAAGAATAAATGATTTTAACTACTGTTGGGTATCATATTATAAAGCGGTACCAATGGGTGTATATGTTTCTGTTATATTATATCTAAACCAATTTACTAAATATCTCGTTGATAATTTGAAGAGCTTAATAAGACAAAAAACCAAGTCAAATATATATTAATACTAATTTTAAAATAATAACGAAATCTTGTTTGCAGTTGGGTGAACGGTGTTAAATCAATGTGGCACGGTTTGCTTCAATTGTGTGCTGGTGGACACTTGTTACTCAACGTCTTCTTGACTTTATTTCTACTAATTATATCTGGTACAAACTATCCTGGTGGTGTTGCTCTAACACGCCTCCATCGGCTTGAAGCGAACAATACAAATGTCACAGTACACATATCGAATTTAGCTGCACAAAGCGGCGTCTCTCGTTTTATGCAGATTAGAGATGATTGGCAGTAAGTTGTTATATACCAAAATTTAAGTTACATATTTAATGTAAAGAAACAGTGAAGTTTAGCTTTATAGTGCATAGACTTTATAAATAATTATATGTACTGTTTATTTATTTATATATAATATATATATTTAATTATAATTGTAGTTACTGTAAAGATGAGAACCTCAATTATACAATGGATGAAATTTCAGGATTTACACATATGTTGGTTGAAGCAAAAAGTAAAAACAATTTACAGCAGTGGTCTTTACTGCAGGAACATTTCGAGGCATTAGAATTCATAGATTGCTTTAGTAGCATTGGTATACAATATAATTCACTACTGCCGATACGTATCAAAACAAAGCCATGTATAGGTATTTTAAGAAAGAAAAGTGATTCTAAAAGCAGTACTAAAAAGGTGAAGATACCCGATATCAATATGATTCCTGAAATAATAGACGATGTACAGCCAACAAAAGCCACTTCAAAGAAAAAGAACAAAAAAGGAAATAAAAAACGCAATGACACAAATATAAAACCACCATTAGAAATAATTGAAGAAAATCCTATAGATTTAATGGATAATTTAGATGATACAGATGGTATTGTTACTAGTATTGAAGATACATATTCTATTGAAACCTCTATAAACAATGAAGATACAGAAGAATCATTGCATACAAAGGAAATTAATTTTCAAGAACTTCATAATTTAGCAATGGGTCAAGTAAATAAGAAGACTAGAGCTACAAAATTAAAAATACGAACGCTTATAGAACAGCATTATCGTTCGAAAGGAAATCAAATAGAAAACGATTCCCTGGAAAAGCAACAAAGCGATAAAGTTAATAAAAGTCATACGACCACTGGTAATCGTCAATCGGTAAAGTCAATAATTAAACAGGAACGTATTAAAGAAATGATTGAAAAAATCTCTACAATGGACTTAACAAAAATGTGCAATTTAGATAAGGTGTCCACTAAAGATTGTCTTAAACAAGTAATTGATAAAATTGATGAAGATAACCTTCAACAAACCAGGTAAAAAATGTTATACATAAATGTGATCAAAGAAAACAATATAAATATTTATGTGAAAAGACAAAGAAAAAGATTGTTCATTATATAATGTTTTGTATCATTTGTGTACTATGTCATAAAGAATAAACACATTTTTGTAAAAAATAAATTCTGAAAAATTATTGTCTAAATACAAAGTAATTAATTCAGACATTCAAAACTTATTTTAAAACACATTAAAAATACAGAATTATAAACAAATATAGAAGTGCTAGGTAACTGCACCAAAAACACATAACAAAAATTTCTGTATAACACCTTAGTGTTCAATGTACCCTAACTGCAGCGCTACCTTCCATAATAGCGTCCATCTATATTTTTTTTTAACTCTACGAACACTTAAACTTAAGCCCTATTGGTTTCTGGCTTCATTCATTTGGGTGGCAAAATTCCTTCACCTGAATTCAAGTTAGGGTTAACGCTGCTACACTCTTCCTCATTCTCACTTTCCCTATTTTGTGTTATATATTATACTAGCTGACCCGGCGAACGTTGTTTCCCCTTGCAATTAATTTTCCTGGCTCAGCTGAGTTATAATATTTGTTGTTATTCAACTTAACATTTAGCATTTTAATGCGAAAATTATTTTGAATTAATTTTTTATTTTGAACTACAAAAAGTCCACATGCATTACTTATGTTACAAATATTTTCATGTTACTTCAAATCCTTATAAGCACTACATTTTAAATGAAAAAAGGTTATTGTTTATCACTTCATCAGACTAAGCAATTATTGACCTCAGATCTGCATACCTCCCCGAGGAGCCTGGAACCATTCAGAGATTTGATAACGCGGTGTTGATAAGTCTGTCAGATTTCACAAATAATTTCACCGCAGCATGATTATAGGTGAGCCAATTTTTAATCTTAAGTTATATGGTAGCATTCCTGGTTTGTATAGTTGTCGTTTAGCAGTCTGTTTGAAACGGTATTGAACAACTGGACCAACTGGTTGTGATTTTTTAAAAACGGTTCTAAAATACCCACAATTTCTTGCTGCTCCATCTGCTCGATATGGTTGTACTGGCAACGTGCGTTTATTTGCTGCTTCTCATCACCCATGAAGTAGATTTGCAGAAATTTGGGATCGTTATTGGGCATCGGCATTAAAGAACCAATTTGGTGATACACTTGGCCCCGAATCTTAAACGTTGATTGAAAATTGCGACCATTCTCATTCTGAACGATTTTTGTTGTTCCAAATGATGTCACTTGAAAGCGCGAATTGAATTTGCAAATTTTACGAAAAAACAATTTAGATTGAGATGTAGCTCCAGCCAATAGTGCTTTCAATGGTTCTGGCGGCGAATTCAATGGTTGCAATACAACTTTTCTAGATGCGCCGCAGAAATCGGCCGATTCACCTTTGTATTTGAGTGCATGACAGTGTTGGCACTGTTTGTCCATAGCACCGATTGCAATTCGTGAATGTGACGAATAGTCGATATCCGATTCATATTTAAACGCAAGGCGATGAAATGATGCACGTGTCAATGCCCGATACACTTGCAAACGCCGTTGTTCACGTGTTCTGAATGTGTCGGTGACTCGTTGACGGACCAGTCTTTGTCTCAATGCATTAGCTAGAAGGCGTTCGTTGCGTTGCTCTTGACTTTCATTAGCACGTGTGATTGTATCCTGGTTTCTTACATTTTCATTGTTTTCTGCCGATCTATTTAACCGACGGTTCTGGAGTAATTGTGAGTTCCGAGTCCGTCGACCAATATTTCCTCTTCGTCCACGAAGACGTGGTATTGTTTTTTGTACCTTATTTATATCTTTATATATATATTTCTTCTTTTTGTGTGTGTTCAAGTGAATTCGAGGATGGTTTAGATTCACAATTGGGTCCACTGGATAACGTTTTTTAATTATTATACAGTTTTTTGGTATCCATATACATTTATATTAGACATTTAAAAGTTATTCATTTAAAATTTAAACTCTAAAATGAATCGCTCAACTATATTGTTGAATTTTTGAATTCGCTGGAGTTTCCAGGAATACCACTACATAACTTAAAATTAAAAATTGGCTCACCTATAATTATACTGCGGAATTTAAATGCATTTAAGCTATGCAACGGCAGTTTTATGATTCATTTTAGAGATTTTAAACTTTTTAAACAAATCAAAGTAAGCATGAATAAATTTTAAATTTCTAATATAAATGTACATGGATACCAAAAAATAAAAAATTAATTAAAAAGACATTATCCAGTGCGCCAAATTGTGAATCTAAACCTTCCTTGAATCCACTTGAACACACATAAAAAATTTGATTAAAATCGGTTCAGCCGTTTAGGAGGAGTTCACTGTCAACACACGTACAGAAGAAATATATATATAAGATATATCATATATTATTATATACATATATTTTTATATTGCGTAGATTTTATCAACGATTTTATGTGTATGCCTTTTAGACTTGAAGGACACACAACTAAATATGTGAATTACTCAAAAAATAGAGATTATTTCTACAAATAATTCGACCATTTGCAAATACAGAGGAAAAGAAAAAATACTAGAACAAATACTATTCGAAATAAAACAAATAATTTTCAGTTACTTGTTCCATAATATTTAAATAGTAATATTAAATATATCTAAGTAAGTTTTGCTTTTCTTAACAAAAATTTCTATATTAATTTTATAAACGGTTAAAATCATAGAATCCTACTATTTAAGAAAATGAATTACACGTTTAAACGTTTTTTTTTCATGTAATGTAAGTAAATCGGCAGAGCTGACTGTCTAACATATAGTCTTCTACATCTTTAGCGATAGTAAATGAAAGTCTTTGATGGCTGTTAATGACGGTACACTTAATTTAAAATGTGTTTTCTATCTTAAATAATTATATTCTAAAGGATGGTCTATTCTATCTTGTGTGATAGTTCACTTTAATATCAGGGACGACACTCCGGCCCTCAAAACTAGTTGTTTCCTAAAACATTACTCGCGGTTTTAAGTAAGCTGGATATAAATAGAGATCTTTCAGAGTTTCTTTAACAAACCGAACCCTTTTATTTTACGCAAACTTTGTATTGATTTTATATGTGGGACAAAATTCTCTTTGTGCATACATATATATGCAATTTCTTTTAAAATCGTACTTATTTCTTAACAAGCTACATATGTGCAAATGTGAACTTATATAAAGTCATAAGTAATACTTTGTTTTTATGCCTTCACGTCTCTTGACCAAGTTTGACTTAAGTGTTTATACAACTGTTAGCTAAACTAGTGAACTGATTTCTAATATTGTGACTTTGCTAGACCTATTCACAAAATGTTTTTACACCAAATCAAGAAACTTATGTACACCAACATATAGAACAGCAGGTCTAGATCGAATCAAATTATATAGAAGCGATAGCTATTCTTAATCAATGTCACTAATATCATGTATATTTTATTACGAATATCTTAATAGTCTTATTCACTCGTATGTATTGAATGAAGTTCTCTCTTATTGTATATACTATCTTCTAAGTCGTTGTTTATAAAATGCCATGTGTTTTATGTGCTAGATAAATTTCAATGTGTATTATTTTATAAAATATAACATGCATCTATCTTCGTTTAAACTTGAACTCAGTAAAAAATTTATTGTTTAACTTTTGTGTGTTAGAGACGAGTGTAAAGTTGTTTTAAAAAATTATAAAACATTATAACGTCCTGAAAAATTTGTCCATATAGGACATATGATACTTTAATAGGTCTGTTCGTTAGAAATTTTCACTGTAGTCTGTTGCATCATGTATACATAGTTATGGATGTAATCACTATTTGAATTTCAGTGTTATCATTTTAAAACATTTGTTTTATTAAATCCACCAAATTATGAATTCATTGGGAAATTAAAACACAATTGTTTCTTGTTGCTCTTATAATAAACTGTTAAATCTGTTTAAATACATTTTAAAGATAAATTATAGTACAACAAAATATTAAAAGCTACAAACACATCTCAGGAAAGTTACAGGCAGTAGTACTCCCCGCGCACAATAAGCTTTGAAATTTTGGTTTTTATATAATTTATTCTTTTTTGGGCATACTGAGGTCATAGAACAATTTACCCATACCGCCTATTGCTACAAGACAAAGCCCCATGGTGACGCGGTATAAAACTTGATCCATTGCAGAACCCTTCAAGAATACTGGTTTGCCGTCCTTCTTTTGGAAATGATCTTGAATTTTTTTTACTTCAAAATAACCTTTATCAATGTTAGTGCTGGGAGTAGCACGTCGCACTCCAGAAGTAGCGAAATTGCGAACGACTGCCTGAAATAAACATTAAACTTAGAATTCGTTTCTTACGTAATTTTTTCATTTACATGTCACATATTCATATACAAATATGACATGGGCACTCTAATATAATACCAATTTAGAAATAATAAAACCCTTTCAAACTTACTCTCGATAAGTTCAACATTTTGAATATTTTTTAATATTTGTTCAAAGAATAAATCCAAACTTTGTAAAGCAAACGACTTATCGACCGAATATGATGTGCTTAATCAAATATGGAATTATGACAGTTCATCCAGGCAGTATTGCTTACTGTCTGGAGCCAGAGTAGTATTTTTATGCACGTAAAAAATGACATATGTGTAATATGAAAATTATTATCAATAATTAATTTAGGCCGTGTGCGAGTTCAAGTAAATTGATAATAAATTGAGGGAAATAGTAAATTATGTCGGTATGGCAGTGAAAGTTGGTATTTATCAGAATTTGGAGTAGAGTAAATTAGATAAAAATTAGTCAAATTAGATGACCCCTTGGTAAACATTTTAAACGATGTTTAATAAATAAATAAATAAATTAGACATAAGTGCAATAAATAAATATTTACGTAAGTGCAGTGCAAATTCCCTAGAAAATTTCAACCTACTTTGCCTCAATTTACTCGAACTCGCACACGGTCTTAGTAATAAATTTTAAAAAATTATTTTCAGAAACAATCATAATTAAAAATGATCTTTATACTCTATTTTTAAAAGTAACGAATTTTTTTTATATTATTGTAGATGTTTTGATGTATTGCGAAATTTTAAACAAAAAGAATAATTATATATGATACAGTTTTGTATCATATGGTTAATAACTGCTACATAAGATAAAATATATATACTCCGTTTAGTGTCTATGGTAACGATTTAATTAAAGATAATGAGATAGGTACAGTGTTATAGCACATTCACACTGTCTCATTTAGGTACTTGAGTTCACATTATAATGAGCTAATTTATGCAACTGATAGAGCTTTTCTATGTTAAAAAAGCTATTAAAGAATTTATTAAATTTATTTTTAATGAGCTCATTTATATAAAAACTTTTGGTATGATTAATATCTTTATTAACGGTCTTAATGAGCAAAACTACCTAAATGAGATAGGGTGAAAGTGTTTTTAGAATTCTAAATTTCTTGTTATGCAGTCTTCGATGTATTGCCAGAAGAACATATTACGATACATGGAAATGAGTTTCAGTTTTCTAAGAAATAAAAAATTGTCAAATAGTTTTCTATTTAGTCGTTCAATGCAAGTTATAAAATTTTAAAAAATTTCTATAATTTTTTAATTTTTTTTCTAAATGTAAATAAAAAAGTAATTAATTTCTACAAATATTATTATTTTTTCATTCTTTTCTCTTTCATGATAAAACTAATTGTTACGTCGTATGATCAGTTATGTTTGTTGCACTATATCCTAGTTTAGTCGTTATGCCCTAGTTGCAGTCGTTATTGAGCAGTTATTTATCCATAGACTTTTACTACAAAAATGTTAGATTACTCTAAAAATGTTCGATTGGGCAACAAAATTTGACAGATCGAAAGTAAATTTATATTGAATACAGATTTAGCAATCGAAAACGTTCTATACGTCTGCCTAACCATATAAAACAGCTGTTAATTTCAGGTCTTGCTACTTTGGTAAAATATCTAGTGTTATAAATTGATCTCTAGTATTATACATTAATCTCGAGTGTTATACAGACTGATCAGTCGAAAATAATAATTTAACAAAAAGCATTTGTTATATAGCATATAACAAAAAAGAACTAGCTAGCTAACTGCGTGAAAAATTAGTATGACATGACAAACATATACCCCATTATGCTTAAAAACGTATGAAAAAAACATATGAAAAAATATTTTCAATGCTTTATTTTTGTATATTTATATATAATTACGTTTGAGCGTTTGAGTCTTCTGGTTTCAATGTTGAAATAAAATAATAATTTTGATAGAAGTGTATGAAAGAATATTTAAAATTTAATAAATTATTTCTAGCGTAGCAAGTGTCCAATTTTCATACTTAATGCCAGTTTTACAGCGAATATCTAGAACTGTTGTGCTGCAAAAATATTATTTTAACAAGTATTAAAATTCAAAAAGTAGTATTTTGATAGCCCTAAACAAAACAAGGCGGATGACAAATCTTTTGTAAAATAGTTAAATTCAATAAAATTTAACTATAGTATTTTGTAACAAAATTGGTTAAAATTTATCACCATGGGTTTTTTAACAATATTAAAGAAAATGCGGCAAAAAGAGAAAGAAATGCGATTACTTTTATTGTAAGTAGAAGTAAAAAAACAAACATAATGTTTAAATTTAATTTTAATACAAACATTTTTGTTTTTAAAATTTTACTTACAAATGTTAGGGGTTTGGATAATGCTGGCAAAACAACTATTTTAAAGCGGTTTAATGGAGAATCAATAGACACTATTTCACCAACTTTAGGTTTTAATATAAAAACACTTGAACATAGAGGATATACACTTAATATGTGGGATGTTGGTGGGCAGAAATCACTCAGGTCTTATTGGCGAAACTATTTTGAATGCACCGATGGGTTAATTTGGGTAGTTGATAGCGCCGATCGTATGCGTTTGCAAGCATGTAAAAATGAATTGGAAGTGTTATTGAACGAGGAACGCTTAGCTGGAGCATCACTTCTTGTCTTAGCGAATAAACAGGATTTGCCTGGATCATTATCCGCGGCAGAAATTAAAGAAGTAATTAATTCCACAGAATAATAAAGATGTATATTAATAATAACTTTTGTAAAACTTTTAGATTTTGGAGCTAGACAACATAACAACACATCATTGGTTGGTAGTTGGTGTTAGCGCTGTGACTGGAGAAAAATTACTTTCTGCGGTGGATTGGTTAATTGGTGATATAGCTAAACGCATATTCACATTAGATTAATTAAGTAGATCCGTAAAAATAATTCGTTTTTTTCATGTATTTATTTTTATTTATTATAAAGTTTAATAAATTACTTTTCTAACAAAAATAATTTATATATTCTTTCATTTTCAGCATCATTAAATTCTGGTTTCAAGTTAACCTTTACAATATCCGTTAATCCTTCGTCCAATGTTGGTGGTTTAAATTTTTTTTTCATCATATTGAAAACCATATCATTAATTTTTGAGTGCGAACTGTCAGTTAATTGTCTAAAGACAATGTTATGTCGTATTTGAGTTAATGAGACATTCATCAAGAAGCAACGACATGGCACGTTTGCATTTTTTGCTAAAGCAATAAATTTTTTCCGTGACTCGACGTCGACATTTGTGTTGTCCACTACACACGATTTGGCTTGTTTAAGTGCATTTTCACACGCTTTCAAACAAGCGGCTGTACTACCCAATGTGTCAGCATTTGCTAAAACATATCCATGTGGAAGTAAATGTTTATGAGAAAAATGACTTTTACCTAAAACAAATATATTTAATTCAGTTACATATAATCAAAGTATATTATGCATTATTTACCTGATCCAGGTAAACCAACCATTATAATTATTTCACACTTCGCAACACCAATCTTTGTTTCCTCAGGCTCAAACAAAGGTAATATTTTAAACGCTTCCTTGGGTACAAAATCTTGTTTAATCCATTGTTCAGTTTTATGACCAAGAAAATGTTCTTCTGGCGTATAAAATGTTACATTAATATTAGCTGCAAATAATCTATCAGCTAGTGAATGGTCCTTTCTTCTTTTTCCAACTCCAGTACCAGTTTCTGGACGACCGGCGGCATCTCCAACATAAAAACATTTTTCAATAACAATATCTTTGTTTGAGTTTTTATTTTTTTGTAAATATTCCCACATTCCTGGTAATGGCTTCCGGTAGTATCCATCCGAAATTGCAATAAAGACTTGAACCGGCACTCCCAATCTTGTTAATATTTTTTTAATTTTTTGTTTAAAATCGTCCAGATTTGTTTTTCCTTTAGCAATGCCTCCTTGATTTGTAAAGAAACAAATTTTGTAACCATCCTGATGCAGACGTTTTAATTTAACCGGAACTTCTGGGTAAATAATTTCCCAATCGTCCATATGTTTTGGGAACACATTTCCAGACTTTGTTTTAATTATTGTACCATCCATATCATATGCTGCAATTTTTTCAGAAGAATTAGCACCATCACTTGAGAAAATTATCACTTTTCCATTTTCAACAGATTCCCATGATCCCTCAATTTCATTCTTAATCGTTTTGCTAGTATTTTCAGTTGGAAAAGTATTTTTATTATATGATTTTTCAACTGATTTAAAAACAACTTCATATGAGTGTCTACCATACACAATTTCTAGAAAGTCACCATGTTGAAGTTCACACACAGCATCCTGCATAGCCACGAGACCATTAACACCACTTGGATTTAATCCTAAAACTCTGAGTTTTATACGTTTTTGTTCTATGTCAACATCTAATTCTATCTGGCGCTTTGAACATCGAGTATCGCATATTCCTGTTTCTCTACTTCGTCCAATAACATTTTTACCTACTCCCAAATTGATTATTTTATCTTCTGACGATATAGGTTTAAGGATGCAATTATTCTTGTCACTGCAAGAAGCCTCTTCTTTCATTGACATCTCTTTTGTTACTTTTGACATTTTATAAAATTTCCTTAAGCGATAAATTTTAAACATATAAATAAAAAATAAATAACATTATACAAAACCGCGTGAAACAATAATATGGAAATGTAAATGTAAACAATTTTGAAATAGGAAACACTATGTTATAGATAAAGCAGTTATGATGGTATTAAGATGTAATAACAACGGCTAATTGAGTATATGACGAAATTATTCAACTTCGTTGGTTGAGAGCGTATATTATATAAATGTAGTACACCTCTTATGTATACTAAATACATTAATTATAATTTCTACACTTTGTAGCCAAATCGGTTATATGTGTCTTAATTAAAAATTAATACTTAAAATATACATATAATCTGTTAACAGTATAAAAATTCAGTGTAATGAGAATTATGATAAAATCTTATCGCCTTTTCTGATGAGATTCTGCAACCAAATAATTTTGTATCAGAAAAACGGACAGAAATGTTAAAACTGTTTAGATTATGAAAGTATGCAGCATCTAGTTTATTATGGTTTGTTGGTCAGCTATTTGATAAACAAATTTATAACAAATCTGCAGCGGGTTTATAATAATAATCTTAGTTTGATGTGATGTTATTTGTAGTAATAAAGATATAACAAAATGGATACTTCATTTGAACCATTTGTATATAGAATTAAACCAGCTATGGATGGCTTTTTACGTGTGCCGAATAAGAACAACTTATTGGTTCTTAATCGTGAACTGGAAAATTTTAAATGGACGAATATGAAAATCTTTCAAACACAAATATTATTACCATTATTTCTTAAACTAGAAGAAATAAATAGGTATGTTAAATCAAATATTAGCAATTGCTGATTAAAATTGTATTTATCTTACAGTATGAATCAAGATTTACTGGCTCAAACAATTGACTGTATACGTTTTGTTGTATCTAAATTATATATAGATGACATTAAAGGATTATCCACTATGTTGATAATATTATTCAGGCAAATACAAAAACTAAGTGATAATGGTGCATTTATAACAGAGGAATTAAAGTTGGCAGTAACGCAGTGTATTGCTGAAGTTATGCGCCGATCAACTACAGATATTTTAGAATCATTTTACAGTGAAAATTCTGAAGGTTTACTTGCACAAATATTACTAATGCTAGTTGGATTTGTAGAAAAAGAAAAGTACAAAAAAATAATGTAAGTTATTTAGTAATTGTAATTATAAATGAGTCTAAAGTATACTAATGTTAAATTTATTAATTATTAGTTTGAAATCTCTAGATTGTTTAATGGTCATTTTTTATGTGCACGATGAGGCTGACGCTGCAGATGTTGTTCTGAGAAGTCAAATTGCAAATGTTCTCTTTATATTTATGCCAAAAGTATTAGTCATTTTATACAAAACAGCATTATCTGATGAAAAAATTGGGGATATATATAAAACGGTAAATGACTTTTTTCTATTTATATAAAATTGTTTAAAAATTTATCTAATTTCTTAATTATTAATTTATTTAAATTTAATTTTATACAATAATGATAATGTATCTTTGTTATATTTCTTCTGTGTTAAACTATTTTGAATTGAATGCACTTATAAATTTAAAATCTTGATTTATAAGATTTATAAGCTTTATACTTATTTAATAAGGTTATCGAATCTTAACATCTAGTTGTATGAATTTTGTGTTAAAAATTGCAATTATTAGTTATCAATCATAAGTAACTTATTAGATCTGCTCTCCACTCGATCTTAAACACAGTTGTCGTACTGATAATATAGTTTCCCAGTTCAAAATAAAGAACTCTACATAAGTTTATTACAATAGGCCTTCATAAACTGTCCACTTTTAGGGTCCAACTAAGCTGGTCTATTTGCGAGACAGACTCCCACTTTTATCTGCGTTCACATCAAATGTACTGTAACACTGTATTATATTAATATGACCATGGATTAAAATGATTATAATGAATTAAATAAAATAATAATATTGTGTAATATAATTATCTGTATGAAGAGAATTAAATTTTTGATTTAATTAAAAATATGTTTTTCTTATTACTTTTAATAACATTAATAACATTAATATTTAATTTCTTAATTTTACAGACTGCAATAAAGGCTTTAGGTCGTATACTTCATTTAATGTATGAAGATGCAAATAATTCAATGACAAATATTAATTATGATGCTCAGGACTTTAATTTTTTAATAACTGAATCCATAGGAGAAAATAATGACACAAAAAGTGATTTATTAAAATTAAAAGTTCCAATTGATCAAATTGAGGATTTTATGCACAAAGCTAAGTCTGATGGTCGATCTCAAACTTGGGTAAAGGCAACCTCAAGATGTTTACGTAAGATTTTTAATGAAACGAAAATTTTGAGATCAAATGAATCAGTTAAAATTCGTAGAGAATATGCGACTATGAATTGCAATCTAATATTATACTGTACATATAATATGAGATATAATTTCATCTCAATATTCGAAAATGTTTTAGCAATGTCCGAAGATAATGATGAGTATATACAACAAATGTGTCAAAAAATGTTGCCCCAACTGTTAAATGACAGTGAAAGTGAGGATATTTTTAATGAAAGTGCGGAATTGCTTCTTGATGAATACATGTCCAAGTTTCCACGAATCATTAATCGTTGTATTGAACAGGAACAATATGCAGAGCTATTATTTCTGAAAGCATTTTTATATAATTTAAACGATGACAAATTATTAATGTTACTATCAACACCAAAAAATCTCGAAAAGTTTTGTATATTATTAATATCCGCGGTGGATTTAAAATTAAGCAATGAACTATTGATGGAAGAATATGCTTTACGTAAACTAAAAGATACGGACTATTTTGAGTGTTCAAAAAATCATTGGCGGAGGTTTAAATATTTAGTAAGCACTCGTTGTATACAGACAATACAACAAATATGTGCTATTTTAGGAAATACTAACATATTAAATCTTGTATTATTTGATTACCTTATAAATTTGCTAAGTCAAGAACATGAAGCTATGAATGAAATAATATTGATAATGACCTGGATGACTACGGCGGATATAAAAGATGGAAAAAAAGAAAATTCAAAATTAATAAAATTATTGTTGGAAGAAATATTAAATGATAAACATTGGTATTTAGCATCACACCCAGACACTGAGTTACGCTTAAATAATGATAAGGTAAAAACTAATTATATTTACATAAAATTTATGTTTAATTTTTTTTTACAGTCAAAGAATTGGTTTGTTGATAGAACACCTGGTTTATATGAATCTGCCGTCGAAATAACAACACAAGATCGCGATCCAAATTATGAAATTGAAGTGAAGAATGGTATATGGGATATATATTTTTATTTTCTTTATAATGCTTTTAATTTTTTTAATTATAGAAACTGAACGTCGAGTATCTATTCGTGATGCTCAGTTCAATGTTTTACATACTTGTGTAGTGTTAAATAGTTTAGGATCTTGTGCTACTTCATTAGGAGATAAATTTGATAACTTCATATATCACAGTCTGCATAAAGTTCTTTTGAAAAGCGGTAAGATCAAATTATTAATAAAAATGATTTATTATTAATATTTTCGATTTTGAAGTATAATAATGGAAATAGTAGAAAACGGAAACAGAAATATTTTCCAAAGTAAAAATTTTATTTATTATAAAGTGTGATTTAATAAGCATAAAAAATACTTCATAAATATTTTAGTATTACCTTAGTTTATGATACATTTATATATATTAATTTAAAACAATCATACATAAGTTAGATTAGGTTATACCGGCGTAACTAATAAAACATTAGGGTTATTGACCCATTGTGTTACCATATAAAAAATTAAGGGTTTAAAACCCATTTTGATCCTTGAACCACCTTAAGTCCCTAGCATAGGCAATCGACGCATACGCTGTATTAAGTACTCAGTAAGTAAATAAGTAACAAAGTAAATGTTCTCCCCACAACAATAAAAGATACAATCCTTTAGCTTGGTTCCATAAATGAGATTATTAGCTTTTTTCTTAATAGAACGCTGGAAACTTGTATTAGATACCTGCGTATCCTTTCATCTACCACTTTGTATTAAATTGATCAGCTAACTACCTCTAAATAAATAACACATAATGAAAAAACTTTACTATATTTGCTTTGAATATCAGTTGCAAAGACATCGCTTTACTGACGTAGAAGAATTTTATGTTAAATTATAAATATGAACAATGTGAAAAATCATGTAGAAAATTGCGCATTGTGTGATTAGATACAACTACTATAATAATATATATTATAATTATATATACTATAATGATGATACTATAATGATAATGATATAAAGATACAACTACAACTATAATGAAAAATTTAAATTTTTAATTGACTTAAAAACTTGAATGGTTTTGGTTTTACTTAGGATGACAGAACTGAGTATTAGATAGACTGTACTTGTCGTTTGACACCATTGATGGTTTTTGCTTTCATATTAAAATAGAACTATATAAAATAAAATTATAATTTTGCACAAAAAGCTTTTTTGATATTGTATTTCTTTTTTTTCAATAAATTTGAAATATAGAAGATAATAATTATATTAAATGAATAGGTGACAGTTTTTATTTTAAATTAAAAAATTGGTTCGTATGGAGAAGATTGAGTTGAGCTAAAAAGGAGTAGAATATGGTAAAAGTTTCTTGATGATTCAACTAGTCTAACTGTCCAGTAAAGTATATACATATGACTTGAGTATATCACAATATTATAATTTTAAGTTCGATTTCTGGACTTGTACTGTTTTAAAACTTGTTGTTTCAAATTTTGTTGTAAATAATTTGACCCATCAATTATGTATCTTATATTATATTATGCTATCTTATATCAGCTTAAAATAATATACAACTAGCTAAAATTTTAATTAAACTGATTAATTTAAAGATTATTGAAGCAGAAAATGAGAATAAAAACTAAATAAAATTATACATCGCTGTTAGAATAGAGTTCATTTTGCATTTATAGAAATAATTAATAATTGTATAATTACTAAATTACTAAATGTTATTACATATACCACATTTTAATAAGTAGTACAGATAATATGAAAATATTGTTTAATTTTTTGCAGCTAGCAGTAATTGTATGATTTATCAAGCAGCAATGCATACAATAATGTTAATGCAGCGGTCTCTCAAATTTGCTGAAACACAACACTTTATTGAAAACTATACGGACTATATCATATTTCATTTAAACAAATTGTTGAAGAAGGTATTTTAATTTTTAAATATAGTATTTTAATTTTTTTTTCGATTAAATTTTAATTTTATTGTATGATTGTATTTCAGTTTCCACAAAGTGGATCGGCTGTTGATATATTAACAGTAGTTTTACAACTTAGCTCGTCTAATATACTTCCACATTTGGAATCCATTTTTAACACTATTAAAGATGAATGTTCAAAAATGTACCAATTTGAAAATATTAATTCATACCTAAGAGTTTTTCTGGCATTTTTGCAACAAATTACTAATTGGAAATTTTCTAATGATCAAGAATTAGAAAATAATATGTTTGTTGATGATAACATTGAACAACAAATGGACTTTTATACTGAATGGTTAAATATTCTGGAGAAAAAATATGTTGAAAGACTACAATTTAATAATATGGATTCAAATTCGAAGGAAGAATTGCAGGATAATAACGAAAATAATGAAAAGAATTTAAATGAAGTTGATTCATTACCACATTACATAAAAATAGTGAAAGATATATTAAATCAAATATTAAAATTTTTATCATCTACTGAGAAAGTTCATCAAATTTTAGCTTTAGATTGCCTAAGCGTCGGAATACCGTTATTAAAAGATTATGAAAATGAACTATTACCATTAATACATTTAATATGGGACCCTTTAATGGAAAGGTTTCAACAAATGGATTCAGTTATTTTAAATAGAAGTTTCATTTTATTAAATACGTTATCAACATATGCAAAGGATTTTATAATGAAACGTAGCTTAGAGTAAGTACAAATAACTTTAACTGTATAAATAAAATGATTAAAATGATTTAAAATATATGTATGGCAAATAGAATTATTCAATATATTAATTAATTTGTAATTTTATAACGTTTTAATTTGACCATTTATAATTTAATATTTATTTTTTATCTTCAATTAAGAATTTTGCAATTATGCAAAATTAAATTATTTCTTTTACAAAATTAATATTATAAATAAATGAATATATATTTCTTTTCAGTGGTGTGATTCCATTCTTGAAACGATTTCTTCAAGAAACCGCTAACAAAACTGAATCAGTGGCAATAAATGCGTAAGTTAAACACATTTTGAAGTTATTTAAAAAATATACAATTTCTCACAAGAGTAAAAGCTAGCCTTTATCTTGTTAAATCTCTAATGGCCTCAGTTAAAGTCATTCACGTGACCGCTCGGTACTTCATAAGCTCTTCATAAGCTCGAGAAGATGTTTGACACAGTTTTTTATAGCACTTTACTAAATTACTTAGCTCACACATCTATCGCTGACTTGATAAAACGACGGACTTTTAACTATCTTGCAGGCAGATCATTCTTTTCACCAATTGTAGAGATAAAGTTTGAAAACCCAAGAAATTGAAACCGATTATTTTTAACTTGTATATGTCCCAACTCTCGAATTCTCGTAAAAAAGTCAGATTTGTAACATGTGCCGACGATTGCAATATATTAGCTACAATATTGTACAACTAGATGAATGCATATCTTTTCCATATGGGCTCATTATTTGGTGAATAAAAATTTAACATCAATAAATTCTTCATCAACCCTCTCTACTTCCTAGACTAGAAAGGTGTATTTGACTTTGCCCATTCGGTGAAATCAAAAATTCTGATAGTCCTTTTCAATAGTATGTTTATCTTTTCTGCCCATATTATGGCAATGTGCGGTCGACTAAAGTCTCGTAATAATATACTAAAGAATTTCGCAGACTGGTCATGGGGTAAAGACAAAGAAACTTTGCTGGATGTCCTAATGGTGAGAGAGCTTTACATCCCAATTCCCTACTTAGTCTATAGTAGGACCTACTGGCGTGTGATTTTGCATCTGGTCTCCAGGTTGACATTGTTGTTGCCATGGTAGATGAAATCCTTAATAGATTCGAAAGTATAGTTGTCAGCTATCAGTTCGGAGTTTAAGTGACGCACATTTCGACTAGTAGACGATATATACTTCGTTTTGCCCTCATTCACCGCTCATATTTATAGATTTCTTTTCGATAGCAGCAAAGGTATCTTTAATATTTGGGCAGCGTAAACAAGGAGCTGAACACATTTGTACAGCATGATAAGGGTCATTTTGTTGAAGTCTTACACGGTATCAAAAGATTCAATGAGTTAGTCCATGAAATAACTAAATAGGAGTAACAGAAAATACATTATTTTGAGTAAAGTTATATTGGTTGATTTTAAAAGTGCTACAGCTTTCTCTTCTATCCAAGTATCGCATACTCCTAGTTTTGATACCATGAAAATCTAAATTTTAAGATGAATTTGGACAGTTTATAAACAGGAATATTGTTTGAAGATTGATATTTAGAATGTCGACCAGACTTATTGGTTCGTAGACTTGAATAGTTAATGTATTAATTTGGGAGGCTTGGGCATTTGTAAAAAAGTGTTTCTTTTTTCTCTTTCTTCCTATAGCGCCTGCATCGATGTTAAAAGGGGATACCCAATTTTTTGGAGTTAAATCAAGGTTTATTTATTTATATATCAAAATCTTTTAAAGCTTTTGTTAAAATTTCAAAACATTCATAAAGCGATTTGTTGATAGTCTGTGTTGCACCGATAATTTTTTATTTAAGTAATAACTTTACTTTTAAATTTTTATTTTATATTGCTACATATCTTATGAAGGTTGGTACTGTGAAATTGTACTATTTATATGCCACGCTAAATAGTTTTCCTCTTTTATAGTGTATAAGAACCTCATCTATATTTTTTTTGTCTATGTAAATAGATCATTTATTAATATCTATTTAAAGACAAATGCGTTATTTTTTCAAAACTTCGACTTCTGGCGCCATTTTTAAGTGCATTTCATAGCTCTTCAATCAAAGCTTTGCAAATATAATATTCTTTGAAGTACTTTTGTAGTTTGAAACTTTATATAGGCTTAATTTATGTTTTAATCAATAAATATATAACTGTGATCCAAAAAGTAAGTAGTAACCATTTGGTTAGTTCATCATTACTGTAGCTAGTAAAACACCTACTGGTGTGCACTTCTACTTTATTATCCAAAACACCAGATTCTATGTTCAGTGGTCTCACGTCCACCAAATATTCCTTACCCCTTCTATGTACTTTTAATATAAAATTTTTTATATATTTTATTTTGGTAGGTTTCTGAATAGCATTAGGTATAACCCCAAGTCAGTTTATTGTTTCAATTAAATAAAAAAAATTCTAAAGGAGAGCTCTAGAATTCTATAACAATAGAATTCTAATATAAGATCTATTATAAGAGTTTAATGAGTTTATTTAAATATACATAATACAAATACATATAATATATATGTAGTAATATAAGATATGTTTATGATTTTTTAATTTACATATGAATGAATGAATATAAGTTTTTCGTTTAAATGAATGAACAATAATATTTATTTTTTATTGTATAAAATTTATATTAACGTATTATGTTAATTTTTTGTATTTCAGAAAAACGCAAGAATACAAATTGAAGTTACATTTGCTGCAAGAATTTTCTAATCTTGTAAAATGTATGCAAATTAATGGCCAGCATTTGGAAGATATAAGCGATGTGATATCTTTGTATTTATCGGAGAAACAACCAACCCAGTTACAGGCGAAGGCTGTTCTGTATTTCAATTCGTTGTGGCATTACAATGGGCCATTGATGTATCTAGTTTTATTAAAACACTCCCAACTTATGGATTATAAAAAAAATTTTTTTAAAATTATTAACCATAATAAAATTATTATTTAAGAAGGAAACATATATATATATATATATATATATATATATATATATTAAAAACAAAAACAAATTGTGTTTTGCTTCTTTATTTCACCAACATTTTAAATAGGATACTTAGATTAAATTTCACAACTAATCGTTAAGAAATGGGCATTGAAGGTCTGCCTCAAAAGATTCATCATAGTTTGCAAGATTCGCTTCCCGTGCATCTGCTGCATCACGCCTTTGCATTTGTTCTTCAAAGGACATGTAGTTCGGAAAATCATCCCATGGACCTGGTTCTATGAATGGTATTGGACTATAAGGAGGTTGTTCTACTTCTGGGCATGGTGAGCTATAAGGACTTGCAGCTGCAGCTGGTGTGCGTGCAGATGGTTCGGGAGGACATACATTGGGTGGTGTCTGAGGGAATTGCAATTGACGGAATGCTTTCGGTCTATCTTTTAGAGGACAACGCTGCCTTGGCGTTTCATCTGCATAGTTCGGGCTGTACTGCAAATACATTGATACTCTGAATGGTGATTCGTCACTAAATGATGGCATTGTTTCATCTTCTATACATTCGTCTGGTTGCGGTGATTCTGCATACTGTTCTTGACAAATATCTTCCTGCATTTGAGGTGATTGGTAGATTGGCGATTCTGCGAAAGACATCTGCTCCTCTTCAAGAAACTGTGAAGGATATGATGTCTGTATTGGTGTTGAAGCCTTTCCTTGTTGAGCTCCTTCACATGGGGATTCTGCTGGCGTATTAAACATTTCATAGAATGGTGGGGGACTTGGTTGTGGTGGGGGAGACATTTGAGGAGAATGTAATTGAATTGGTTGATAATCATGATAAACATGTTGTTCCGCAACTGAATCATAGAAATGTGTTGGTACTAAAGGTGAGCTAATGTCTTGGAAGCAATCACGAGTATCGTCAAATCTTATTGGTGATTCTTCCTCTATTTGTGGTTCTTGATATGGAGGCGGTGTAACGTGTTGCATAAGTTCAGGTGTTGGAGCACGTGGCGGTGAATGATGAACTACAAAACAGGGGGGTGGACTTTCTCTTGGCATGGTGAATGGAATTCGTCGAGGTTTCCTTCTTCCACCATATATAGGTTGGCCTTGTTCATCTCTGGGAATAATCACTGGAGGACAAGGCTTGGTTCTAACTCTTTTTATTGGAGTTGGAGAAGGAACATACGAAGCTTCCTCTGGACAACTATCATATTCTGGTTCACTCTCATCTTCAACTCTATAGGAAGTTTCAGGTTGAACGTAAGGAGAACTTAAATAATCTTCAGGTCTTGTTTTTGCAGGTGGTCTTTCTGGAGTAAAGGCTGGGCAAACTTCTTCATCAACTAAGTCAGGAGTGTCTGGATGCTCTATATCCAATGCAGATTCATATTCAACACATGATTCATCACCTATTTGTGGTGATTGTTCTTGCGCACATTCTGCTTCTAAATTAGCATGATGCCATGGCGCCCTACGAGGTGGAGCTTGTTGTTGTGGTGTCATATGTGGTGAAAACATTCGAATTGGAGTAGGTGGTGTACAAGGACCATAGTCGTAGGCAATTTGCCCTAAACCATCTCTTGGTATAATTGGAGCTGGAGCTGTCTCCGGTGGTGGAGGTAAACAAATTGGTTCTATGTCTTCTTCTTCTTCCATTTCTTCTTCACAAACGGAATCTTCAAATTCTGGTTCGCTTTCTGCTTCAAGATCATACGCAGCGTCTGGGGGTGCATAAGGTGAACCGAGATGAGCAATATAGTCCTGAGGTACTCTTGGTGGCGGTGTGGCACAATCTAACGCAGAATCATACTCGAATTCCTCATCTTCAATCATTTGTTCAGCGTGTGTTGTCGGTGACATATGTTCCATTAAATCAGGCTCTTCTTCAGCACAAGGCATAGGTCTGGTTGGAAGTTGTAATGGTGATGGAATACGTGGTAACACATCTGGTGGACGGCCAGGTGACGTTAATTGAATTGGTTCGTATGGAGGTGCCTGTGGAGGAGCGCATATAATTTGGCCCTCCGTATCTCTTTCAAAAACGGTTGGCATTGTCGGGGCAATTTCAGGATAATCTATTTGCTCAGGAGAACATGGTTCGTCATAAAATGATTCGTCAGATGTGTCTGGCACACTGGTATAACTTTCAAATTCTGGTTGGCTCTCCGATTGAAGATTAAACGATGTTTCATGTGGAACGTAAGGTGAAGTAAGATAGTCTTGTGGCCTTCTTTTAGGACAAGGAGGCGTTCGTTGTGGAGGACAAACTTCTTCTTGAATATCTTCAGCTTCGCAAGGAGAGTCTGGTCGCTCTACTTCTATTTCGGACTCATATTCAACAAACGATTCGTCACATATATTGGGTGATTGAGCTTGTTCTAGCATACCTTCTGCTGGTATGTTTGTATGATGCCATGGTGCTTTACGCGGTCGAGTATCACAAGGTGGTGGTGTCATATGTGGTGATTGTAAACGAATTGGAGTTACAGGACAAGGTGGTCCAGATATGATTGGACCATAATCATCTCTATCTATTATTGGCATTGGTAGTCCTGGTGGCAGTTCATCGTATTCTAACTGATCCTCTGGTTGTAGGCATTCTTCTTCCTCTTCTTCCTCCTCTAATTCTTCGGGTTCTTCATCCATTTCCTCTTCACATATGGTATCTACAAATTCTGGCTCACTTTCTGCATCAAGATCGTACTCAACTTCTGGAGCTGCATAGGGAGAACCAAGATGGGCAATATAATCCTGTGGTACTTTTGCTGGTGGAGTGGCACATTCCAATTCCGAATCATATTCTAACACTTCGTCATCTAGCATGGGCTGCTGATATGCTTGCGGTGATGCATGTTGCATTAAATCAGGGCCGTCATAATCCACATGTGGTTCATAAACATCTGGACATGGAGCTGTTTCAATATTCTGATCTAAATGCTCTGGGAAACCCATTGGTATTCGGGAAGGTGCTTGCCATGTTTCTGGAGTTCCACATGGAATAGAAGCCTCTGAAACCTGATCCATTATTAATGGTTGTTGTTGAGGTGAAATCCTAGGACTTCTAGGACATACTTCTGCGGGTTGTTGGATAGCTTCTTGCATTTCCGGTACATACTGTTGCGGTGACTCATAGGAATCTTCAAATTCAGGTTCACTTTCACATTCGATATCGGAAGGTGACTGTGGTTGATAAGGTGAGCTAAGATGAGTTAAGTAATCACGTGGGTGTCTCTTTGGGGTCTTTGGAGTTGGACATGGCTCGGGTTCTGCAGGTAAGTCCTCGAAGCTCATGCTTATGTTTTCAAGTTGCGAAATATTAGGATCAACTGGATAAAGGTCAACCGGTGACTGAGGTGTTCGTGGAGTAACGGGCATGTGTCCTGGTGTTCGTCCTTCACAGCTTATTCTGGAAGGACCTTGATCAAGGGCTTCATATTGCTCACGGTTAGTTTCATCTAAAAAATGTTTGCATATATTTGTATAATAGTATTAAGTTTTTAAAATATTAAAGGAAACCCTACATGTATAACCCCGAAACATTTTTGGATGGCGCCACTGTTCATCTCTTGTTAAACCAAATTGAGACGGAGAATAAGTTTGCCTTGGTAAGCGACGTCTTTTCCTAAATAAATCAGGAGTATCATGCTCCCCTTCACATGGTGCCGGAGGAATTGGGGGAAGATTTAGAATTTTAGGTTGTGCAGGTGGACAAACCTTACGTGGTCGAGCCATTGCCAGAATTCGCTCTGCTCGGTCCATCGTTGTTTCAGCAGGCGGTGTTGCATCGAAGTCGCATGGTGGTGTAATATCTTCAAGTGCATCACCATACATATCTTCCTCTTCCGCCTCACATGGGTCGTCACAGGGAGGCGCTTCCGGTGGACAAATTTCAGGACCCGCATATTCTTCACATGGGGGTGGTGTAAAATCAAAATCACTTGGAGGCGTTACATCTCCAAGTTCATCTTCGCAGATATCCTGCATTTGAAAACGATTTGGTGCATCACAAATTGGCTGAGCCGCAGGGCCTTTAATATAATAATTAAATTATTTTTATTGTAATAAATAATTTATAATACTCTTATTACCTGTAGGTGGACACACCGCTTTTGAAGCTTTCCTGCGTGGTGCTTGCTGTGTTCTTGGTCTTCCACCTGGTTTTAACGATTGTGGTGGCGGTGCGGTAAATGGACGAGAAGCCGAACTTCCAAACCCAGGTTGTTTAGCTTGCCTTTTTGGTGGACACGGTGGGCGGGTACTACTAGGTCGTCTTTTGGTAGCTGGAGGTGGACAAGGTGGGCGAGATGGTCGCGGTGGACAAGGAGGAGGAGCAATGGCTCTTGGAGGCCTCGCCATTCTCGGCGGCTTAAATGCTAGCATTTTATCTCTTTTACTTACAGCTGCTGTTGGTGGGGGACGTGGGCAAGGTTTTGGTAGTGGAGGCGGTTTAAATGAAAGCATTTTAGTTCTTTTACTTGCTGCAGTTTCCGCTGGTGGTGGGCAGGGTCGAGCTGAGAATGGACCTGCAGTTTTTCTAGCTCTGGAGGGTTGCCTTTTCACGGGTGCTGGTGGACAAGGTCGAGGTGGACCAGTTGGTCGAGGTGGGCAAGGTGCACCAATCGCTCGAGGAGGACGAGTTGGTCGAGGTGGGCAAGGTGGAGCAGTTCGTCGAGAAGGTGGGCAAGGTGCACCTGTTGGTCGAGGTGGAGCAGTTGGTCGCGGTGGACCAGTTCGTCGTGAAGGTGGGCAAGGTGCACCAGTTGGTCGGGGTGGAGCAGTTGGTTGAGGTGGACAAGGAGGTCCAGCAATGGCTCTTGGAGGACTTGCCAATGGTTGAGGTCCAGGGCTTACATATTGTTCACAGGGAGGCGCTTCCGACGGACAAATTTCAGGACCCGCATATTCTTCACATGGGGGTGGTGTAAAATCAAAATCACTTGGAGGTGTTACATCTCCAAGTTCATCTTCACAGATATCCTGCATTTGAAAACCAAAAGGTGGACCAGGTGGAGCAGGTGGACAAGGTGGACCAGTTGGTTGAGGAGGTGGACAAGGAGGTCCTGCAATGGCTCTTTGAGGCCTTGCCATTCTTGGCGGCTTAAATGCTAGCATTTTATCACGTTTACTTGGAGCTGCTGTTGGTGGTGGACGTGGACAAGGTTTTGGTAGAGGCGGTGGCTTAAATTGAAGCATTTTTTTTCGTTTACTTGCTGCAGATTCTCCTGGTGGTGGACATGGTGGAAACAAGCCTGGTTTAGCAGTTCGTCTTGTGGGTCCAGTGGGTGGCATTTTTCTACCTGGAGGAGGACAAGGTGGGCCAGGTGGGCCAGGTGGACGAGGTGGACAAGGAGGGGCAGCAATGGCTCTTGGAGGTCTCGCCAATGTCGGCGGCTTAAATGCTAGCATTTTATCACGTTTACTTGGAGCTGCTGTTGGTGGTGGACGTGGACAAGGTTTTCGTAAAGGCGGTGGCTTAAATTGAAGCATTTTTTTTCGTTTGCTTGCTGCAGATTCTCCTGGTGGTGGACATGGTGGAAACAAGCCTGGTTTAGCAGTTCGTCTTGTGGGTCCAGTGGGTGGCATTTTTCTACCTGGAGGAGGACAAGGTGGGCCAGGTGGGCCAGGTGGACGAGGTGGACAAGGAGGGGCAGCAATGGCTCTTGGAGGTCTCGCCAATGTCGGCGGCTTAAATGCTAGCATTTTATCTCGCTTACTTGGAGCTGCTGTTGGTGGTGGACGTGGACAAGGTTTTCGTAAAGGCGGTGGCTTAAATTGAAGCATTTTTTTTCGTTTGCTTGCTGCAGATTCTCCTGGTGGTGGACATGGTGGACGAAAAGATGATGCAGAAGGTCTTCTTGAAGATGGTGGACACGGTGCTGCAGGTCTTTTTGCTGGTGGTGGACATGGTGCAGAAGGTCTTCTTGTAGGTGGTGCTCTTCTAGACGGTGGACATGGTGCTGATGGACGACGCTTACCTGCTGGTGATGGTGCAAATGTAACCTTCTTTCCAAGTTGGCTTACTGGTGGTCCACATGGACCGGTTGGAGAATCATATTCGAATGGTTCTGGTGGGCATGGACTACCTAGCGCTCCATCAGACTCATATTCAAATGGTGCCGGTGGTGGAGGACATGGACTTCCTACAGTTTGTGCTGATGGTACACAAGGTGCTGCACCTTTTCTTCCGGCGCCGCTTTTTCCTTTTGGTAATGATGGTGGTTTGTACGAGAGCATTTTAGATCGTTTAGATGCTGCAGCCCCCGCAGGTGGGGGACATGGTCTACCGCCCCTCGATGTTTTACGGGTAATTGGTAATGATGGGGCTTTATATTCAAGCCTCTTAGTTAATTTGCTCTTAGGAGGTGTTTTCGGCTTTTGTGCTTTCTTTGGCTTTAGATGTGGAATCAAATTCAATTTTTGTTTACTAACTGGAGGTAGAGGACATTCAGGAACGGTTGGATCATAGTATAAATACGCTTGTTGTACCTGCGCATCCCAAGCATTTGGATTATCCCTATGTTCTATATAAATTTATTATATTAATATTCATATAAAAAAAATAAAAATTTTGTGAATTTACCTTGAAAATTTTTTGTTTGTATGTAAGATGTAGGCATAAAAATTTCATCTTCAGCTACACCAAATTCTGCCGCCGTATATTCACCACCTTCATATCCTTTATAAAATATATCAGGATCTTCATGAAGTGACTCTTCATATGGAAACACGGGCTCAATAGGTGCATCCCAATCGAAAGGTGGTGTTTTAGGTGGCGGTGCTGGTGGACATGGCGGTCGTGAAGGGGGTCTCCTCGCGGGTGGTTTTGGTGGCATTCTTCTAGTTGTTGCTTCAGGCACTGGGCATGGAGGTTTTGCAGCTATTCTCAGTTGTGCTGCTCGATTGGGTCTTGCTTGAACTCTTTGAGAAGGTGGTGGAACAGATGCTTTCTTCATAGGTTCAGGACATATTCGACGTTTTGAATAAGCACCAAATCCACGTTTCATTGGAGGGGGTTGCGGCTTTTTTTCTCTTAATATTGGGAACTCTCTTTTAACTGTATGTATAGTAAGAGGTTTTACAGGTTTTTTCGGTTGACCAGTGTCTTCTGTACGCGAGCACCACCATCCTGAATCAGGCCTACGTCCAATTTGCTTGGCACCTGGTGGTAACTTTTCAGCTCTTGCTCTACTAGCTTTTGTAGTTTTAACTACAGGTGCTTTAGGAGCTTTTGTATCTCTAAGTTGTTTTGTAATACGTGGTGGACATATCTGACGTGTTGGCTGAGCCTGAAAACCTGTAGGTCGCTTAGGCGGACATGGTCCCTGACCTTTCATAGCCATTCGAAGAGCTGCTGCTTTATTCGCAGCAGGTATTTTCGGAGCAGAAGGAACTCTCCTTGCAGGAGGCTTACATGGAACAGTGGGTGGTTTGATTTGGGATGAAGATTTCTTAGCTAACCTAAGCGCCGCTGCTTTAGTAAGTTTAACTTGTGGAGTTGGTCTGCATGGTCCTGCCGCAGGTGCTGCTGCACTTCTTGGTGCCGTTTGTCGGGCTCTTGGCGCCGGACGCCTTCGTGCAGCAGCAGCTTTAGCTTGTGCTTCGCATCGAGCTTTTTCTTGAGCCTGTTGCTTTTCTTTTGCAGCTAATCTCAGAGCTGCTGCTCTGTTAATGGTAGGTGCTTGTGGAATTGCTCTGCGCGATTGGGTTACTCTGGGAGCCGCTTTACCAGCAATTGGTATTTGTTGTCTTGGTGCGCGAGCGCCTGGCCTTGGACCTCTTCGCGCTGCTGCGCAAGCTTCAGCTTGAGCTTTCGCTTGAGCTTGTTTTTCTTTAGCGGCCAGTCTGAGAGCTGCTGCCCTGTTAAGAGTAGGAGCCTGTGCAATATTTCTTTGTGACTGACTTACTCTAGGCGCTGGTCCACATGGTGCTGCCTGTTGTTTTGATGCAGTTCTTCTTAGTTGACGCCTTCTTGCTTCCGCCATTCTTGCCTTTTTTGCTGCAGCTTCAGCACAGGCTCTTTCTTGAGCCTGTTGCTTTTCTTTTGCAGCCAATCTAAGTGCGGCTGCTTTATTAGCGGTTGGTATCTTCGGAAGAGGTTTAGTAGGTGCAGGTCGTTTTATGGGTGCCGGACAAATACCACGTTTACCAGCTGCTCCGAATCCACGTTGTTCAGGAGGTAAAAATTTCATTGGTTTTTTATAAACCGGAAATTGAGGACCTTTTATTCGACCTAAACGTGCATTCCTTTCAGCACGCAGTCGTTGAGCATTTGCTTTATTTGCTGCTGCCGCTTGTGGCGCACATGGTTGTGGTGAAGGCGCACATGGTTGTGGTGAAGGCGCACATGGTTGTGGTGAAGCTTGTACTGGTGAAGGTTGAACTGGTGCACATGGGCCACCTGATCGAAATGTTGTTTCTAAACGTGAATCAAAAAAGGGCATCGGTTTTGCAGCACGTTCTGGTGACACTCCTGGTATTGGAGTTCTATTCAACCTCTGTTGTATAGGACTATATGTGATAGGCGTACTTATAGCAGAAGGTAATCTAGGATCTCGTCTCCTCTGTGGTGTAGGCCGAGATGGACATACAGCTCCTTGTGGAGTTGTGGGCTCCATTAGTGCTGGATCTGAATATTCAATGATGTCATTCGGATCATCTGGAATAGTAAATCTATCAAATGATGGTATTGTGGAACTTCTGTCTGGTGACCTAAAACCAGAAAGATCTGGAGTATTATAAGGAGGCATAGGTACGCGACCTTTCGATACTCTTGTCTGTCTAGTTTTTCCAACTATTGGGACGCATGCACGAATGGCATTCACTTGAGATGGAGGAAGTGTACGTCTGGGAGGATTGACTCCATATGATGGTGGAATTAGTTTAGCAACTGATGGAACTTTAGGAGCTCTTGCGTCTCTTAGACGTTTTTTAAGAGGCTGAGGACAAATCCCACGTTGTTGATAAGCATCAAAACCCGTTCGCTTTGTTGGAGGAGGAGCATATGATGGTTTTTGTGCAGCTGCACGCAACATTGCCGCTTTATTAGGTCTTGGTGGCAGTGCTGTTTTTGATGGACATGGTCTTGCACCTCTTGCAGGTGGTCTCTGCATATGTGGTAGCGATGAACTTGGGCGTGTTGTCCGTGGTGTCTCACATATTTGTTGTCTCGATGGTGGTGCTCCTGTATAATTTGGGGGCCGAGGTGGTGGACATGGTATTTGTGTCGGAAATTGATCGCGTACTGCACGTAAATGAGCTCTATGTGCAGCTACACCAATATTTCTATCTACTAAAGGACTATCTGGCATCACCATTTTTGCAGATGGTGGTGAACCAATTTCTTGTGGGCATATTTGAGATAAGGAAGGACTTCTCCGTCCTCTTGGTGGACATATTCTTCGTTGTGGTACTTGCAAAAAATTGGGATCTTGTGGCGGTGGTAGTGCCGAATAGTCTTTGGGACATCTTGAAAATTTAAATGAAAATACAAAAAAAAAATAAATAAATAAATAAAAATAAGTAAAAAGAATTGGTAACGAAATCAAGAAAGCCCTAAATAATATTCGATATGCATTTCATTTTAAAATGAATCTAACGATAAGAAAATACGATAAGAAAATATTTTACTATGACTGAGAGGTTAGATTAGAATGCAGTAAGAGCTTTTTTCATCAAAGGTCATTTAAATAAAAATAATGACCAATAGTAGCGAAATCATAGGTGTAACGTTAAATTAATGTGTTGGTTAAATCTTATGGTTTCGTATATGGGCGAGTGTCCGAGAGTGAAGTTAAGTAGTGAAAGGGCAACAATTATCCTCAGGTACAGCTTTAAATTGTGGTATTCTAAATAACTTAACGCTAGATTAGGGACTCTAGAGACAACTTTTTGTTCTTCACAATATAAAATGTTACATACTGTTAATAAAATTCTATAAACAAATTTTTCAAGCAAATTTTTCACCAGATATCATAAACCATATATCGGACTTACAGTATCATTTTAAAAATTGCAACAAAATCGAGTGCATCTTTTTAATATGTTATTCTTATTTCTAACGAAACTATTAAACTGTTTTCTTTAAAAATTTTTTTAATTATCTTAACAACGTAAAAATCAGCACCAAAAAGATATATTAACGAATTATGATTTACCATCAGTCAACTGGCATGTATTATCGAAACATACACTCCTCGTAAAAATTACTTTTAAGCGATTTTAGTAGTAATAAAATATATAAATTTATATTGATTTTATAAAAATCATTTTTCAAAAAGGTGCTAGAGCTGTGTCGGAAATTTAAACAGTAAAATAATTTCTTAAATTTTATATTTATTTTATTTGGTTCGATGGATCCAGATTAGGGTGTAGTGAATTATAAAGTTTTTGGTAATAAAAACTTTCTCTTAACTAAAATCTTCACATTAAACGTGAAGATAAACATAACGGTTTTAGCTCGGAGTAAGTGGAAAAATAATCATTTGGAGTCGGGCAAACCAACTACTTAGTTGAAACCCACAATTAAAGCTAAAGCTTGTCGTAAAATAGCATTGCTATTGAGCAAGCACCAACAGCTCCTTATTAATGGATTAGGTTACGTTGGGGTGGTGGCCCTGTATCCAAGAACCCGTTTTAATATCTCATGATTAATGATGTGATTATACGATTAATATGATTAAAATAGATATATGTGCATATATATAGTATTATTAAATTTAAAGAATAACGTGCTTCATATAAAATAGCAATACATATTCACGAGAAGTACAAACAATATAATTCACAAAACATCGTACATAATCAATCGAATATTGATTGTAGATAAAGTACTCGTATTAAAAATTTATATCAATATATTTGCTAAATATTTACGCTCTAATCAGAGTTAACCTCAGCAAACAAAAATAAAGTTCTATGTTATTCTCTAACAAAATATCCATAAATGATGATAATTGATGATAAAAATGATGATAAAATTAAGTAATATCAATTTCAGCACTTGTTCATGAATAGTAGATGAAAAAAACAACACATAATATAATACCTAATAAAGCGGGGTAGATATTGACCCAGCTAGCATGAAGGATGTACGAGGTTTCAGTGTCACCAACATAGGGATCATAGTACTGTATAAATTAAAATAACTAAATCAGAGCTCAAAAAAGGATATTCGATAGAATTCAGTAAGGTCATTTAATATTTTAGGTATTATCAAAATATGTTCTAAAAAATAATATATGACAAAAGAAGATTCTATCGATGATACAAAAAAAAGATATAAATATTTTGAGCAAGCAACTAAATCTGTTAGAAAAAAATGCTATAAAAACCGAAAAAAAAACAGAACTCATTTAAGTCACGATTCCATGACATAATGAATGAATTAAAGACGCTAACAACGGAATATCTTACAATATTAAAAACCTTGGGAAAAGGGTATACAGTCAAACTACCATAACTCGAAGTAATTACATTTTAAGATATTTATTTATTTGCAATCAAATAAAGCATAGAAGGTATAGTAAATGTATATAGAAGTTATATTCAGAAATTAGGGTTTGGGACTTTAATTTTTTTATTTTCAGTAACAAGGGATTCCACTTTATTCATACTCTTATACCATAGTGATCATCAGTTCTAGTATCATTCATTTGGAAATATAAATTCAGAATATTGAATGGGACTTCTACTTCAATCTTGGAAGGCTGTTGAATAATTACATCCTCATCATCACTTTCCGTTGCGCTTAGAATTGGATCCAGTAATTTAGAGCTATAGTGCTCAATAATATCAATTAATAAAAATTCAACTATGGAATGCACTTTCCCATATACCAATTGACACGGAACAAAATTTTTGTTCGAGTTATAGAGAAATTCGAATTACAGAAGTTCGAATTATGGAAGCAAAATTGTATGTAATATGCTCACTAGAACATTGGTGCACTGTTTTTGGTTCGAGTTATGGAAGTTTAACTGTATTTATTAAATTAAACTTATATTCATATTATTGTTTGAAAGTGGTTCGTTTTTTGCATTTTAGCCCGACATTTCCAAATGCTATAAATCCTTGTTAACAGAGATTAAAACTGTACTGTTTATATCGTTTGAGAGACAGATATCATATTTTCCTTATTACATGTACTCGTTTCTTTCAATACCTTTTTCATTCTCTCGTCATCCAATAGATACACATACTGCGATTTATTGCAGATCAATTCATATCATTTTTACACAAGCAATATATATAGGAGACTTGAGGTCATATTCTTCCTTTATTCTTTTCTTTATACATAGAATATTTATTAGAATTAGTGGTTGCTGTCCAAATGGTTTTTTTTACTAGAAAATTTGTATAGCTACCAACCTCTTCACTGATTTTGAAAGACTGATTTTTGTCGTTAGATATAAGGAAGGAAATTTTAGAATCGTTGCGGTAGGTCAAATAGTTTTTACGGATTGTATAAGCAATGCGATAACACTGCTACGATTTTACCATTTTCTTTTGGGGTTACTTTTGTAGCTGAACGCTATATTAAACGAATGGAATAGATTAGAATGAATCTCACTATAAGTAAGAAACACTAGTGCAGTAAAAAGGAAGAAATATCGGTTCTTTAAAAAATGTGATTAAAAATTAAAAATGTTAAAAATTTAAAGGTACTTAATTAATAATTTAAATGTATAGCATCAAATTGAAGTCGCAGTTAATCGGTAATAAAATATTAGTTTAATATCTATAATTTCATAACATCTATAATTTCAAAAATCTATTACTTCATAAGACAATATCATAGCATATCAATATCTTATATAATAAAATAAATTTCACTAAATATTGAGAGTTTTCAAGAAGAATCCTTAATGTTGTTAAAGAATCTTAGTTTACAATTCAAGGATAATACAATAAAAAGATACAATAAATTACACCTATTCTAATTTCGTTATTTATTCTATTTTTAAAGCGTCCTCAATATATTTAATATCAAATCAAAAGTGTTAATCGCATGTTTGTAGTTGTATCATTTATATATTTGAAAAAAAATGTTTAAAATAATCAAAAATTCAATCAAATTCTTAAAATATCCATTATTCAAAGATTTCAATTTTTTTCCGATTTTAGCTATTTTTTATTAAATGAATATCGCTAATAGATATATTCAAAATATGCATGGACAAAGCATATTTAAAACCCACAGCCTATAAAGTTACATATATCATATATATATCAAATATATATATATATATCATAATATATATCATATATATCATACATATATCATAATTTTTAGTTTATTATAATAAATACCTGCGACTCATTTTGCTGCCTTCCTTATTCGCAACTTTGATATTATTTTAAGTCCTGGAGTTTTGCAAAATCATAGTTTTGTCGTTATCATTACAGGTGTGTTGTCCTATATTTCCACCAAAGCCCTACTCCTATATATATATATATACACATGTGGAACATATGTGTATATATATATACTAATTGTTGTGAAAAGTATCCAGTTTAGCTGGTTACAAAGAAGCAAAACTTTTATAAAAATATATATACTCAACAGAAAATTTTATTAAATAAAAAAAACAAACAAATGATTTTATCTTTAATTCATTAAATCTTACGTTATTTAAAATTCATGTTGCTTGGATTGGTTTGGATAACAACATAATTAATTACGAATTTTTTTTCTATTAATATCAAAGTACTTCTAACAGTGGCGGAGCTAGACCAACTTTGGAACAGTAATAAACATATATTAACATAACCTGGCGATTATCAAATTCATGAACTCCGTTGTATAAAATTAGATGTTGCTCAGGATTACCTGGCAGCTCTAAATGATATCAACATCGTTATTAGGGTGCGCCTATCATGGGTCCAGGGGCATAACGGTTCTTCAATACTTAGTTTCGTTATTATATTTTTTTGCCACATTTTCCAGTTTTCATTAATACTCAAATCATTAGTTATATTTAACTCGGATGCCAGATTTGACCATTTTTCAAAAAATAATGTTTTTTCATTTATTAGGTACTGCGATAATGTTTTTTGAATCCTATTGCCTGGCAAATTCCTAACACGATTGATGTAATCAAAATGCAATTTTAATGTTTGGGTATATAGCGTCGGTAGACCAGTTTCTAAATGCACCATATAAGTTGGGGTATTTTTCGGCAAACGAAACGTTCTCTTTATATAAAATGTCTGCAATTTTTCTACTACGTCATATTATCAACACCCCAGATTTGCGCTGCATAATTTAGAACTGACTTAACTGTGGCTTCAAAAACTTAGTATTTTACGGGCAGTGACAGTTTCGGATTTCCTAAGACATTTTTCCAGGTACAATTAATAGCCAATTTAGCTTCCTTTAACTTCTCGTTCAAGTGGTTATCGAATTTTGCGTTATATTTCATATTTATTTCTAGATATTTATAATTATTAACCACTTCTAATTAATCATCGTTAAGGTACCATTTTTCATCATTTCTCAATCTTCTAGCATGTTTCTTAAATATTATCACTTTTGATTTGTCTGTATTTATAGATAGTCCCGATAAGTTGCAATATCTATTTAATTCATCTATCATATTTTGTAACATTATTGGAGAATCTGCAAACAACACAATATTATCAGCATATAATAGTACTATTAGGCACATGTTGGCAATCGTAACACCACCAGAAAGAAATTTACTTAAGTCATCAACGAACAGTGCAAACAATATAGGGCTTAAGACACAACCTTGTCTCACTCCGGTACAAGTTTGGAACCATCTCGCAGTACATCGGAAAACGTTGAAAAAATACTGAAAATCATTATGTCCGACCATAAAGTGAAAGTGAGGGAGATTGCTGAGATTCAACACACACAGATATCAGCAGGCAGTGTACACACCATAATACACAAACATTTGGGTATGAAAAAGGTGTTTTCCAAATGGGTGCCGCGTTTGCTCACACCGGAGCAAAAACAACAACGAATCGATGATTCAAAGAGCTGTTTGGACATGTTTACGCGCAATAAGTCGGAGTTTTTGTGTCGGTACATCACGATGGATGAAACATGGAT